TCTGACTCCAGCATCGGCAGTTTTTACTATCTCAAAACAGAGGCAAGGTGTGTGACACTCACTCCAGACCCTTATCTTAATGGAAGGTCTCTCAATTGAGCATCGAATGCCTTTGCATGAAGGGTTATCTCTCAGCCCCATGGTAGCGCACAAGTCATCTTGAACAGGTTATTATGCTCCTTGCATGGTCAATCCCCCATCCAATGCTGAGTTAATACCAATAGTGGGAGAGATGAGACATTTAAGTGGCCATTAACGACAAAAAAGCTGCTGTTTCAAAGTCTTTATTTCGTTACTAATACCAAAAAACAATGTTGTCAATCCCACCATCCAACCACACTCCACCTTCACTTCTTCATCAACCCATCCATTGACTCACCATGGGAAATATTACACAAGGACTGGTATTAAATATGCAAACGTTATGCATTTGGTATGTTTATGTTATAATTGTGGGATACACTTAGAAAGATACAAAATACAAAAGAAAACAAAAGCCACTTTTTAACAAATCATTCCGGAAATATAGGAATCACTATCTCAGCCAGCATTTATTGTCCGTTCTTTAAGAGAGCCGTGGTGAGCTGCCTTCTTGAACCGCTATAGTCCTTGAGCTCTGGGTAGACCTACATTGCTGTTAGGAAGGGAGTGAAGGATTGTGACCCAACAACATCAGAGAAACAGTGGCATATTTCAAAATTAGGAAGATTTGTGGCCAAGGGGAGAAATCACAGCTAGCTGTGTTTCCATTTACTGTTTTGCCCTTGTACTTCGAGGTTGTAGAAGTTGTGAGCTTAGAAGGCACTTCTGGAGAAGCCTTGATGAGTTATTACAGTACAGTGAGAAAGGCATGTGATCAGAGTCTGGGCTGGATTGATACCAAACGAGGTTAAAGGCACATTTCTAGGATGTCCACCAAATTCCCTTGTTTCCACTGGAACACAGCAAACCTGACAGAATTCAAAATGTTTAAACAAATTTCAAAGCTATGATTTCTAGATTACAGTATGTACAATATAGAAAAGTAAGACATTAAGATTTGCTTAGGAAAGGTTGGTACTTATTTAACACCTTATGATTAACAGCCGAAGAGCAATCAAAAATAAACCTAAAAGATATGGATCGCCATTAGAAGGCCAATTCAGAGTCAGATATGTTCATTGACCAGAATTCATGTCATTAAGACAGAACCTACAGAATCCGTAGCAATAAAATCAAAGAACTGTGTTTGCTAGCGATCTGAAACAAAAACAGAAATCCCTCAAAGGGTCTGAAGAACGCTCATTGGATCCAAAATGTTGACCCTGCTTTCGCTTCACAGATGCTGCCAGACCTGCTGAGTTTCTCCAGCTATTTCTGTTTTTGCTGCAGAATCCATAGACTACTTTATGAGTGGATGCAGAGAATAGGGCTCATTATGTGGTTTTCAGATTGAGAGTCAGCAATCAGAATTGTTGAGATGGCAATCACATTCAACTTCAAGGAAGCTCTCTGAATGATGTATTTGACAACCTGCAGACTTATACCATCGAAGCATTGCTGAAGGATCACATACATTGCAAAGCAATCCTCTCAGGTTGATGAGACTTAAAGATTTTGAGTACAAACCAGACAATTGACACAATCACTTGAACACCCAAATATAGCAAGACGTACGGAAGGTGTGATCTTCTGCAGGCATGGAGGAAATGCTTGGCTTTTAATCAATAGCAGAAAAGGCCATTGGCAGAGTCAATGCATCAGAGTAACAGTGATACAGCTAAAAAGAGTTGTGCACTGATCCTAACAGACGGCACACAAGGAGTATCTTCAAAGTTACAAAGAGACCATCGGTATGCTGCCAGAGGCATATCCATGATATGATCAACAAACCAGAACATTACAATGTAGACAACAAGACAAAGAGTGATCACATGTTTTACACTGTCAGCATCATAGGAAACATCAATACCATCACACTTGCGGCAAGTCAAACTAATGACTGGTGGTTATTAGTTAAGACAGATACAAGGTCAAATGCCAGTATATAACTACTGCAAATTCTAAAAACCATGTACCGAAAGACGTGGGATGCTGTGATGAAACATGTAAATGTAAGGCTTTCAGCATCCAGCTGCCCATTCAATCCCATATAGAACATAGAACACAGAACTGTGCAGCACAGTAACGGGCCCTTCACCCATGGTGTTGTACCGAACATGACACCAAATGAAACTAATCCCTTCTGACTGCCATTGGTCCATATCCCTCCATTCCTTGCATATTCATGTGCTTATCTAAAAGTCACTTAAATGTCCCTACTGTATCTGCCTCCATCACCACCACTGGCAGTGCGTTCCAGACTCCAACCATTCTCTGTCTAAAAAACTTGTCCCTCACGTCTCCTTTGAACTTTTCCCCTCTAACCTTAAATGCATGCCCCCTACTATTAGACGTTTCAACTCTGGGGAAAATATTCTGACCGTCAACCCTATCTACGCATCTCATAATTTTATAAACTTCAATCAAGGTTCCCCTCAGCCTGCTCCACTCAAGAAAAAAAAAGCCTGAGTTTTTCTAGCCTCTCCTTATAGCTCATACCCTCAAATCCAGGCAGCATCCTGGTAAAAACCAAAAGAACTGCAGATGCTACCATTCAGGAACCAAAACAGAAGTTGCCCGAAAAGCTCAGTAGGTCTGGCAGCATCTGTGAAGAGAAAATCAGAGTTAACATTTCGGATCCAGTGACCCATCCTCAGAACTGGTATTCATAGCATCCTGGTAAATCTCTTCTGCACCCTCTCCAAAGCCTCCACATCCTTCCTGTAATGTGGCAACCAGAATTGAATGCAATACACTAAATGTAGCCTAACCAAAGTTTATAAAGCTGCAATATGACATCCTGACTCTTGTATTCAATTCCCGATCAATAAGAACAAGCATGCCATACGCCTTCTTTACCACCCTATCTTCTTGTGTGGCTACTTTCAGGGAGCTATGGATTTGAGGACCCCAAGATCCTTCTATACATCAATGCTGTTCAGAGTCTTGTCATCAACTGTATACTTTTCCTGAACATTTGATTTCCCAAAGCACAGCACCCAACACTTACCTAGATTAAACTCCATCAGCCATTTCTCCGTCCATGTCTGCAACTGATCTATATCCCACTGCATCCTTTGACAACCTTCCAGATTATCCACAACTCCACCGATCTTTGTATCATCTGCAAACTTACTAATCTACCCATCTACGTTTTCATCTAAGTCATTTATATATATATATCACAAACTGCGGAACACCACTAGTCACGGACATCCAGCCAGTAAAACACCCTTCCACAAATGCCTTCTGTCTTCTAAGGGCAAGCCAATTCTGAATCCACGCGGCCAAGTCACCGTGGATCCCATGCATCTTAATCTTATGTAGAATCAATAATGCTCATGTGCAATTCCAATTGGATGTTGTAGATGTTCTATGTCATACGAGGCATAAATTGCAGATTTGCAACATGTGATAACCTGCACTAGTCATAATCCAATTACACATTAGGGGCACAATGGAAACTGCAGCAAACAGTTCAAGAAATCCTTATACTGAATTTGAAAGAAGAATGGTGCATCACTTTCTTCAGAATTAGTGGATTTAAAGTCTGCCCTCTTTGCTGGGAAGAGAAGCATGAAAGTTCACGAGGGAAAGGCTGAATAATGAGCTCAAGATAAATCTAAACTTGAAAACACCATCTCAGAGATGAGCCAGTCTTTAGTGTATACCTCTTCTCAACTCACAAAGTTGAATGAAGAGCTGAACGAGAAAGGAAGGAAGCATGAGGAACTACAAGCTCTGCACCTTCAATCCAATGAACAGACTGCAGATTTACGTGGAAATTCAAATGTATTCCAATTCAGGATCATCGTGAGTAGCTATGGAAACTTGACCTGAGCTCATAGCAATGGTGGAGAAAGTAAAATATGGAAAAACAGGTGGATATACACAGCATACAAAACAAGAACTTGTAAATCATTCATGAGACAGTCCTTTCGGAAATAAATACTAGCAACGATGCCCCAGTGAAAGAACTCAGGCAGGGCACGAAATAAACCAACAACACTAAAGCAGGAAGTTGAAGAGGTCCAGGCTGTAATGAAAGCAAAAAGAAAGTCACATTTGGAGAAGCCAGACAGCTATTACCACAGGTTATAAAGGCTAAAATCTTTAAGAGTTTGAAAAATTCAGGATATGAACCAGACGCCACAAAATGAGCTGGAAGCTCTGAAGAATCAAAATAGTAATGCCAAACAAATTTGAATGATTCAAACAGCTTGAGAATTGAGATTTGTCAGAAGCTAATCTAGTGCAAAACTTGGCAGTGTTATGTCAGGATAAGCAAATTCTGGAACTGCAGCTGCAGTCAATGAGAAAAAAGATAGTGCAAACAGAAGTGGCAATTACTCAACTGGAAATTGTTCTGATCTCAGCTGATCGTATTGTTCAATAGGTCAGGCACCAGGATGAAACCTGGCTTGCGAGGTTTAATTTTTGCAGCTGGTTGATGTGGTGTTTAGTCACTGAAACAGATTCACACAAGAGTTTATTACACAAAAGAAGTGAAAAATAACAGATAGAGCTTTATGACAGAAAGATCTTAGCACAAATATCAAAACAAAGTTTCAATCTGTTTCCCACTATTCGCTAGAGACATTCAATCCCAAAGAAATATCATTCCTATCTCAGTGTTTTAAATCTTTAATTAACTGACCTTCTCCATTCGTTTCCTTGAGCTGTGGAGACAATTTTATGACTCCTTTCTGATTTTGCCAGTATGAACCTCGCACATTCGTGACGGCCTCAGTTTCTCAGTTCTAACAATTTTAAGATTTTTATCTAAACTCTCATGGCATGAAAGTTCCAATCAAAACACATCGGCCAAGGTGACTGGTTCCCTAAACTGATCGATTTCCATTGATGTCTTCTGAACTGAACTCTTGAGTTTTTCTCAAGTAAAAACCGGAACCTCAGTTCTGCAGTCAAAATTAATCAGTTTACTTTTCCTGCTATAAATACAATAGTTTAAACATTTAATATATTAACAATACAGTGGTTGTCCAAGGTACTCAAAATGCAACCTCATGTTTTCATAACCTGATGGATTCAGGTCACTGTTTGAAATTGACTTTTTGACCTTTTAAAACAAAACCGTCACAGAATTCATCCATATCCATCTGCTTCTATTTTGAAGTATAGATCCAAAAATATAGCATGTGTAATATACATTTCATGAGAAAATTAACAGAACATCACTTGATCTAGATTTTTCAGTAAATTATCCATGTATTATAAAGACTCATTAGCTCACTTGTTATTGTAAACAGTTACACTTCCTTTTGGAAAGGTAACAGAGGTTGTATGTGTGCCTTGTCTTTAAAGAAGTTAATCTTTAATGACGCCACATGCAGCATGTATATTATATTACAACTCTGCCTTGCAATTAGTCTGCTTTGGGTTTGCAAACTGCACTCAGAAATGCGTTTGTTGCTGTAATAGCTACTTCATAATGTGCAATGCGTTTCACTGATTTAAATAAATAAACTTAAAAAGTTAATCAGTTACTCAGGGCTATTAATTATTAGATCACAACAGTGGTGGCAACATCATTGACTGCAAGGTTTGATTCATTGAGCATGACGATGTCAGGCTGTTGCAGTAATAGCAGAACACCCAGATGTTCATAAGGATGACTTCAACCACAATTGACAATGGTTTAGACGAGCTTTTTAATTCCAGATTTTGAGAATATAATTCACATTTCACCATATGCTATTTTGGGATTTGATCCCATGTTCCCAGAGTATCAGCCTGTGTCTGCGAATTACAGTGACAATACCCCTTGGTCACAACTTCTCAATTATTTCTTAAACAAAATTGGTTGGAAAAACTCAGCAGTTCTTGCAGCACCTATAGAAAGAAAGCAGACTTGATACCGTTCTGAGGAAGGGTTACTGGAACCGAAATGTTAACTCTGCTTTCTGTCCACAGTTGGTGCCAGATTAGCAATATCTATTTTTGTTTTTGATTTCCAGCATCTGCAGTCTTTTGGTTGTTTTAATCAATTATTTATTATCCTTATTTATTCCATTCAAACACTGGTTTCGCTTTAAGGGTTGGAACAATACAACTGACAAACAACCATCTATAGCAACCTCACTTGACCATTAAAGTGACTTCAATCTGTGCCCATTTACACCACTTTTACACAGGGAATGTCTGCAATGATGTTGGAGTTACAGGTTGGTTTAAACACAACTTCACTTTTGAGGCTAAATAGCACAATGTTCTTTAACAAACTTCATGGGATCAACTAGTAAAATGTAGACAGAAAGATAACTTGTTTTAATAAGTTGTGGAATTGCAATGCACCATTCCTTTGCTTTTCCTCCATATGCACTTTTGATGGTCTTCTGTGAAATGAATGACTTTACTAATGGTCACTTCTCATTTATTAGCAACTAGTGACCAGCAAGCTGCCTCTTTTGAGATGGAAATGTCACAAGCTGGGTTCAGTTCACATCACACAGAGGTAAGATATTGACAATCTACCCACATTTATTTAATCCCATCCTTGACTTAAGCTCACAAAGCAACCTTTATTTTGAATTAACACACTGCAAATCAAGATTTCCATTCCTTTTTCCAACAGATCTATTGTTGAAATGAGCAATGAAAATAGGAGTAATGTTTACTGTGTGCTGAGGCTTTTCAGACCTTTAAAAATTGGGAATGTTTGTTGTTTGTCATATGCTTCGACATGTATGTGAAAATATTATTGCAGACAAATGTAGGCTCCTTACTGTCTGAAACAGGAGAATTGATAATGGAGAACAAGAAAACTAAGATAATTACAGAGTAACTAACTACTTTTGTTTTGTCTTCATTGAAGAAGGCACAAAGATATCTCAGAAATGCTAAGGAAGCAAGGGTCTTTTGGGAAGAAGGAATTGAGGAAATTATGTGTAAGACATTGTGCTGGAAAAGTTCATGGGACTGAAAGCTGATAAATATCCAGCATCTGGTAACCTACAGCCCAGCATACTAAAAGCGATGGCCATGGAAATAATGGATGTGTTGGCTGCCATCATCCAAAATTCAGGGGACCCTGGAACAGTCCCAGCAGATTGGAAGGTAGCAAAAGTAAAACTATTGTTTGAAAGGGAAGGTGGGAGAAAACCGGGATTTACACATTGGTTAGCCTAACAGTTGTAGTGGGGAAAATGCTGGAGTCTATTGTAATGAATTTGAGAGCAGGACACTTGGAAAATACCAATGAGACTACACAAATTTAATGTGGATTTATGAAAGGGCAATCATGTTTGACAAACTGACAGGAATTGTTTGAGGACGTAATTAGTGGAATAGATGAAGCAGAACTAGTGTGTGCAGTGTACTTGTATTTTCAGAAAGCTTTTGATAGAGTTCCACATGGGAGGTTATTATGCAAAATCAAAGCAGATGGGTTAGCGGAAATATACTGGCATGGACTGAGAATTGGTGAGCTGATAGAAAACAGAGTAGGAATAAGTCGGTGATTTTCAGAGTGAAAAGCAGAGCCAAATAGAATACTGTCTGAATCAGTGCTTTGACCCCAGCTATTCACAGTAAATATCAATGATTCAGATGAGACAATTGAGTGTAAGTTTGCTGATGTCAAAATTTTAGGTGGGAGTGTGAGTGCTAAGAAAGACATAAAGAGGCTTCAGGGTAATTTAGATAGTAGGAACTGCCGATGCTAGAGAAGCTGTGATAACAAGGTGTAGAGCTGGATGAACACAGCAGGCCAAGCAGCATCAGAGGAGCAGGAAAGCTGACGTTTTGGGTCGAGACCCTTCTTCAGAAATCGGGGAGGGGAAGGGGGTTCTGAAATAAATAGGGAGAGAGGGGGAGGAGGATAGAAGATGGATAAAGGAGAAGATAGGTGGAGAGGAGACAGACAGGTGAAAGAGGCAAGGATGGAGCCAGTAAAGGTGAATGTAGGTGGGGAGTTAGGGAGGGGATAGGTCGGTCCAGGGAGGACGGACAGGTCAAGGAGGCCGGATGAGGTTAGTGGGTAGGAGATGGGGGTGGGGCTTGAGGTGGGAGGAATGGTTAGGGAGGCGGGGATGACCTGGGCTGGTTTTGGGATGCGGTCGGGGGAAGGAAGATTTTGAAGCTTGTGAAGTCCACATTGATACCATTGGGCTGCAGGGTTCCCAAGCGAAATATGAGATGCTGTTCCAGCAGCCTTCGGGTGGCATCATTGTGGCACTGCAGGAGGCCCAGGATGGACATGTCGTCCAAGGAGTGGGAGGGGGAGTTGAAATGGTTCGCGACTGGGAGGTGCAGTAGTTTGTTGCGAACCGAGCGTAGGTGTTCCACAAAGCGGTCCCCAAGCCTCCGCTTGGTTTCCCCGATGTACAGGAGGCCACAACGGGAACAGCGGATGCAGTATACCACATTAGCAGATGTGCAGGTGAACATCTGTTTGATGTGGAAGGTCTTCTTAGGGCCTGGGATGGGGGTGAGGGGGGAGGTGTAGGGGCAGGTGTGGCACTTCCTGCGGTTGCAGGGAAAAGTGCCGGGTGTGGTGGGACTGGAAGGGAGTGTGGAGCGGACAAGGGAGTCACGGAGAGAGTGGTCCCTCCGGAAAGCAGATAAGGGTGGGGAGGGAAAATTGTCTTTGGTAGTGGGGTCAGATTGCAGATGGCGGAAGTGTCAGACGATGATGCGTTGGATTCGGAAGTTGGTGGGGTGGTATGTGAGAACGAGGGGGATTCTGTTTTGGTTGTTATTGCGGGTAGGGGGTGTGAGGGATGAGTTGCGGGAAATGCGAGAGACACGGTCGAGGGCGTTTTTGACCATTGTGGAGGGGAAGTTGCGGCCCTTGAAAAACGAGGACATCTGGGATGTCTGGGAGTGGAATGCCTCATCTCGGGAGGTGGAGGCGAAGGATTGGGAATAGGGGATGGCCTTTTTGCAGGAAGGTGGATGAGAGGAGGTGTATTCTAGGTAGCTGGGGGAGTCGGTAGGCTTGAAATGGATATCGGCTTCCAGCTGGATGCCAGAGATGGAGACAGAGAGGTCCAGGAAGGAGAGAGAGGTATCAGAGATGGTCCAAGTGAACTTAAGGTAGGGGTGGAAGGTGTTAGTGAAGTGGATGAACTGTTCGAGCTCAAGGACACACACACACACACACACACACACGGACCGCAACTTCCCCTCCACAGTGGTTGAAAACGCCCTCGACTGTGGAACACCTACGCTCGGTTCGCAACAAACAACTACATCTCCCAGTCGCGAACCATTTCAACTCCCCCTCCCACTCCTTGGATGACATGTCCATCCTGGGCCTCCTGCATTGCCACAATGATGCCACCCAAAGGCTGCAGGAACAGCATCTCATATTTCGTTTGGGAACCCTGTAGCCCAATGGTATCAATGTGGACTTCACGAGCTTCAAAATGTCCCCTCCCCAGACCGCATCCCAAAACCAGCCCAGCTCGTCCCCGCCTCCCTAACCTCAAGCCCCACCCCCATCTCCTACCCACTAACCTCATCCCGCCTCCTTGACCTGTCCGTCCTCCCTGAACCGATCTATCCCCTCCCTACCTCCCCACCTACACTCACCCTTACTGGCTCGATCCCCACCTCTTTGACCTGTCCGTCTCCTCTCTACCTATCTTCTCCTTTACCTATCTTCTATCCGCCTACCCCTCTCTCCCTATTTATTTCAGAATCCACTTCCCCTCCCCCATTTCTGGAGAAGGGTCTTGACCCGAAACATCAGCTTTTCTGCTCCTCTGATGCTGCTTGGCCTGCTGTGTTCATCCAGCTCTACACCTTGTTATTTCAGGGTAATTTAGACAAGTTGAATGAGTGTATAAAGCATGGCAGGTACAATATAAAATGGATAAATATAAAGTTGTCCTGTTCAGTGAGAAACAGCGAATGTCTGTGTATTGTTTAAATGCTGGTAGATTTGGAAATGTTGAAATTATAAAAGATCTGGTGCCAATATACACTGAAAACAAGCATGGAGTGCGGTAAATAGGAAGGCAGGTGATATGTTGGCCTCCATTGCAATCGGGTTTCAGTACAGGAGTAAGGCAGTCTTACTGCAGCTATAGACAGGTGAGACTACACCTGGAATATTATATGCAGCTTTGGAGTCCTTACCTAAGAAAAAATATACTTGCTTTAGGATATGTAAATTGAAGGCTTGCCAGAGTGTTTCATAGCATTGAGGAGACATTGGGCGAACTGGGCCTGTATTTACTGGAGTTTAGAAGAGTGAGAATAGATCTCACCGAAACATATAAAATTCAGACAGGGCCGGACAGAGTGGGTGGAAGGGATTACGTTCACCCTAGCCAAGAGATCCAGCAAAGCAGGTCACAGTTTCAGGCTATGCAGCAGACCATTTCAGACTGAGATGAGGAGAAATTTCCTCACTCCACAGGCTGGTGAATTTGTGAATTTCTGTACCACAGAAGACTGCAAAGGCAAAATCACTGAATATGTTCGGCAAAGATATAGATTATTAATTAGTAGATAAATAAATAAATAAGCATCTTGAAGAAAATTGAGTACTACAGGAGTTCCATTGTTATGAACATTTTCATGCTGTTGCTGTGAGAGCTAAAGTTGAGCTGTTGGCTCTGGATGTCATGGATTCATTCTTTAGGAAGTCAACACCAGTAAAAAAAAAGTGCATACTATATTTAATCACTGTATTGCTCAATTTATTGCGCTGCACTAGCTCTTGGACTGGAAAGTCTCCCACCAGAATTTCAGGAGAGAGCTCATCCATGATAATTCATCCAGTGAAAATTGTGTGGAACACATACTGAATTATTCATATGTACAGTGTTGCAAATGAGCAAACTACTCACTAGAACTGGGAATTTACAAAACCATCTCTTGCATGTTAATTGTCATGTTAATGCTATCAATTCCTAGTGTAGAGGCGGTGGTAACGTTGAAGTAAACTTCTGCATTTAAGCAACCAATTATCAAGAAGATCCAACTGCAAAATACTGTCACCTGTATGCCAGTGTCAGCAAATCTAACTTTGATGTTGTGACCATGAGACTTGTATGCCTCATTTAAGTAATACATGCAAAAAAACAATAGGAGCTTAAAAGTTGCTTGCCTTTTCCAAACTCATTAATTTGATTATAGTGTCAGAGGCAACTGTATTTAAACAAAAATCAATAGAAATTAGTAGGCAAGAGCAAAGTGAGATTAACTATAAGGTGCAATCACGCCAGTACTGTGCATCAGTTCCAGTAAACTACTCATATCCAACCTCAATCATCGAGCTCCAGTTTCCAGATGACTTGGGTCTGCACTCACTCAGAAACTAAATTCCTAGTCATTATTGATTCCTTCTAAGAAAATGGGTCTTTCACTAAAAAAACTTGAGAAACAAAGGTCCTCTTCTAACTAGCACCCACAAAACAACACCTGGTCGTCCAAGTTCATTAAGAAAAATGGTGAGACCTTGAAAATGAGCACCTTGTTCCATGTCTTGTGAGATTCCTCAAGGTGAAGGCAGACATTGATGTTGAATTTCGTCATCATCTTCAATGTACCAATTAACATCAGCCAACTGAAGGAAATAGTATTTGAGGACCAGGATCTCAAGCCTGAGACTAATAACTCATGCTCCTCCAAAGCACGGTAGAAGCACCACCAGCAATGGTATCTTCAGAAAATCTTCCAAAGTTGGTGGCAGGTAAAGAGGTCCAACAGCAGCATCCTTTGGCCTGTTTCGCTTTGAGGTGCTGTTCACTTATAAAATATTTTTCTCTGTGCCTGGCAACAGACTTCTGAAGCAACTGCTCTATTTGGAACTTATTCATAACAAGAAACCACCAGGAGGACAGCAGAAATGATTGATGAATGTTCCTACAGCATTGTGAAGATATTAAACATCTAACCCATGGGATTTCTTGGCTTGTAACTGACCAAAATGGATAAAGCTCATTCAGGAAGGTATGAAGCACATTGCAAAACTTCATCAGGAACAATCAGAAGCAAAGCTGAAGCATCAGAGAGAATACATTGGATGTATCAGCCATCTCACTGAACTCATTGAACAGGAGTCAAAGTAAATCATCCTCAGTTCCAAGGAACTATCTAAGAAGAACAAAAGGAATTCAGTACAACAGTGCCAAAACACATATTTGGAAACTCCCTGTTCAATTATTATTTACCACTGTTTCATCTTTCCAACTGTTAATGTAGAGAGCATAACAACTCAAGCTTTGATTATTCAAAAATGTTTTCCAACAGTAAATTATATTGCAATTTTCATGTGTGTTTTCTTCATTCTAAACCTAGGATAGCATCATGTTAGGAGCAGTTGGAGCTTACGATTGGAATGGAACAGTGCTTTTACTAAAGAACAATGATGCAGTTATCCCACACAATGAGGCATTTTTGGACAAATCAAAAGAAGTTAATGAACCTCTTGCTGGATATTTAGGTAAGAAAACCATTGAGGTATCACCTCAGGTGGTGTTTATATGTTACAGTTCGCTATGGCAACATGCACTTTTATACCCTGTTTATATCATCTGAAGCTATGTATAGTGGTGGTAGTGTAGCCTCAGTGCAGACTTTAAATGTTTTCAATTAGGTCTATTGGTTAGGAAGAATGTGAAATTCTGAAGTCAATTAATTTTTAAGAATCATTGTATATCATCAATTAAAAACATTATCTGGTTTCAGGTGAATTGGTTTATTGGTGATATTCCCACCTCCTAAGTCAAAAGGTGCAGGGTTTGAATTCAACTCCATATAGTCCTGATGGATGAATTTGGGGTTAGTATCCATAGGATATGTGCAGGTGTGAAAACCCCTATCAACTTACCACATTTACTGGGTAGATTTTAATGTCTGATCCTCCAAACACAATTCAGGAGGTGAGGAAGATGCACATTTATCAGAAAGGGTGTGCAGTTGGAACTCTGCCACTTCCCCCTGATATCCAATTAGACCCCAATTAAAAACTGGGGTAGGCGATAGCCTAGTGGTATTATCAATAAACTATTAATCTAGAAACCCAGCCAATGTTATGGGGACCCGGATTTGAATCCCACCATGGCAGATGGTGGAATTGGAATTCAAAAAAAAGTCTGGAATTAAGAATCTACTGATCACCATGAAATCATTGCCAATTGTCGGAAAAACCCATCTGGTTCACTAATGTCCTTCAGGGAAGGAAATCTGCTATCCTCACCTGATCGAGCCTACATGTGACTCCAGACCCACAGCAAGGTGGTTGACTCTCAACTGCCCTCTGAAATGGCCTAGCAAGCCACTCGGTTGTACAAATCAAAGAAATGAAACTGGATGGATCATCTGGCATCGACCCAGGCACTGGAAAAGATAACGGCAGAAACAGCCCTGTCAACCCTGCAAAGTCCTCCTGACTAACAGCTGGGGGTTAGTGCCAAAATTGGGAGAGCTGTCTCACAGACTAGTTATGCAACAGCCTGACATTGTCATACTCACAGAATCATACCTTACAGACAATGTCCCTGACACCACCATCACCATCCCTGGATATGTCCTGTCCCACTGGTAGGACAGACCCAGCAGAGGTAGCGACACAGTGGTATACAGTCGGGAGGGAGTTGCTGTAGGAGTCCTCAACATTGACTCTGGACCCCATGAAGTCTCATGGCTTCAGGTTAAACATGGGCAAGGAAACCTCCTGCTGATTACCACATACAATCCTCCCTCGGCTGATGAATCAGTATTCCTCAATGTTGAACAACACTTAGAGGAAACACTGAGGATGGCAAGGGCACAAAATGTACTCTGGGTGGGGGATTTCAATGTCCACCACTAAGAGTGGCTCGGCAGCAGTACTACTGATCGAGCTGGTCGGGTTCTAAAGGACATAGCTGCTAGACTGGGTCTGCAGCAGGTGGTGAGGGAACTATCAAGAGGGAAAAACATACTTGACCTCATCCTTACCAATCTGCCAGCTGCAGTTGCATCTGTCCATGACAGTATCGGTAAGAGTGAGAACCGCACAGTCCTTGTGGAGACAAAGTCCTGCTTTCACATTGAGAACAACCTCCATTGTGTTGTGTGACACTATCACCATGCTAAATGGGACAGTGTTGGCACAGATCTATCAAATAAAGACTGGGCATCCATGAGGCACTGTGGGCCATCAATAGCAGCAGAATTGTACTCCAACACAATCTGTAACCTGAGATAGTAGGAACTACAGATGCTGGTGAATCCGAGACAACAAGGTGCAGGGCTGGATGAACACAGCAGGCCAAGCAGCATCATAGGAGCGTTTCGGGCCTAGACCCTTCATCAGAAAAGGGGGAGGGGAAGGGGGTTCTGAA